CCTGGGATTCGAACCCAGGACCTCTCGCGCTTAACGCAATGCAAGGCAATACGTTTAACTGTTCGACTACAGAGGTGGTCCGATACATCTAAACTTAAGTTACTTTTAATCATCACATTTTTACGTGGTGAACGAAACAAAGTGTTCTAAAGAAGCGTAAAACGTTTTAATTATAATATACGTGATCTACGGCGTTTCTAACAGACCGCAGCCTTAGTTGTGTTGTCGGTCATTTTATTAATCACGATTCAATTATTTTACAGCGATATCATGTGAAATGGGTAAAATATATAAAATATAAAGCAATCACATTTTCTATTAGACATTATTTGCTGTCAAAATTGTTTGAATACTAGCAGAATGCAGGGAAAAATATTATGTTTAATTTTGGTGTTGGCATGTCTCACAGTCAACGTTTACACTTTGCGTAAGTAATATTGTAAAATGTGTATTTTTTAATTCGACTTATAATAATGATAATTATGTTATTTCCTTTACAGCACAGCCGGGAAGTGATGTGATTCGAGGTACAATATCATTATTTATTTATACCCTAACTTAGATTGACACGGTTAATCGTAAACGCGAGATTATGATTTTGAATTTAAATTTTAAGGTCAACATAATGTCTGTAATTTAAAAATCGAAAATAAATTGAAAAAAATTTCGACTCGGGCAGGACGAGTAGTACATTTAAATAAAACACTTTAACGGTTTGAAACGCAATATATATTAGTTAAACTTATTTGAAAACTATTTTTAACTTCGGCCCAACGTTTCGGATGCTTTGCAGCAGCCGTGGTCACAGAGTCTCCCCAGGTTTCAAACCACTGAAGTGTTTTATTTGAATTCTACTAAGTAGTTTTTAACTTATAATTATTGTTTCCAGTAAATCCATCCAATGTAGCGACAAATCACAATGAGCAAAAAGTAAATGGTACCCAATCCCAGCTGAGTGGAAATCCACTGATACGTTATTACAACCGACTTCTTGCCTTGGGCCGTGCAGGTTTTTAATCACATATAAATCTATGTACCTAACAAAAAGAGCAAACTGACTCTTGATAAATAAAAAAATAAAAGATACTGATTGTTTAATTTAAAGGACCATTTATTTTCATATTCTATTTTTTATCTACAATGTAAAAACCCATATTTAACACGTAAGAAATGTATGATAAAGTTTTTACAAATTTAATGTTATGAAAAAATGGTGAATATTTTCAAAAATAAGATACAATGTCTATCATAGTGATATATATGTATTATTCCGTATATTTCGATTCAATACATCACATCAAATTCCTGTAGAAGTAAGAAAAACGTAAATTGGAAATAATCAAATGTAAAGAAGAGAAATTTGTTTTGATTTTTTCAAGAGTTTCTGGGCATTAATATTAAAATTTTAATGTTGAATACTTTTTAGAATACCGTGTACAAAGTAACACAGGACCCAAATACATTTTTGTGTCTGTCCATTTGGCTATCACCAGGCTGTACAAAGGTGCTTCAGGAACTTAAGATTATTAAAAAAAAAATGTGTACTTTGTTTGTTTACAGTCTACTATTATTACATAAAGTATAATATCAACCAAATTATCTTAATTATATTAGTAGTTGTTCAAAGAAAGACAGATGTTTATCAATTGTTTATTTAGCTCACAAATTTATCGTTTATATAAATTTAATTAAACGCCGAAATTAGCATATTATCTGAAACAAAAAATAATTGTTACTGTCACATATAGTATACTGTACATCAGTTGACATGATGTAAAACATGTGCCCTACTGAAACTAGGGTTACTCCAAGATAAGTCCAGAACTCTTTCACTTTGTGAAATTCAGTTATCTCTACGAGAGGCATTGGAAAGACGCGTTCATGATCTTTTTCACTGATCAACTTTCTTCACTACGAACGAGCTACGAATGTCGTAGAGGACTACTAGCGCCTCTACAAGATCGTAGCATGGTCTACGACGTCTAATACGGCGGTTTTTTAAATTTACATAATTTTTCACTCTAACAAATTCACCAGGTATAAAAACACCTTAAAATTAACCCTTCATGGTATTAGTGACCCGTAAGCGCAAGCGGTCTCGAGAAATATTATTTTCGGTGGAGAAAAGCACAGAAGTAGTTTATCTACTTTAAATAAACAAAATATCTAATTGCCCAAAATTGATGTTATTTTTTTTTAATTTTATATGCACCTAACTTACTATAGCAATAACTTACCCCTCCTAGACATATAAGATCTTTAATTGGTGACTGTTTTCCTGAAGTATCCTGGCCATCACCATTCCCAGCATCGTTAACTGGCTTAACTATATAAAAAAAAACAATAATTATGATATAGAGATAACAAATAAAACAAATGTAGTTGTTTTAGATTTTGGCTAATAGATTGAAGTTTATTTACTCAGTTGAAACTTACCTATAGTTTACTTTCAGTCTTGGGGTCTATTTACATCATTGTTTAATTGTAAATACATAACATTTAAAATATAAATGTGAATCTTACCATCAAACACTTTCTAACTTATTTTTTTGGATTTTTTTTGTAATACAAGCAGATTAAACGGCCTCTATTAATTTTAAAAAACTTATCTAGCTATAGTTATAATAAATATTCATTGTAATAAAAGCAAAATTAGAGGAACGTTTCCTTCCTTGTAAAAAACTGCTATTCACATATTTAAAATAAAACTTACTGTTTATAACTTGCACTCTTGCTGTCACTAAAATAAAAATAAATATTATTAATATAACATTTGTAAATAAAAATATAGTATAATAGCATTATACATTACCCATTTCAAACATCATTAGGCATGATATAATAAATAAACACAAAAGTAAACCCTTCTCCATTTTAAACCTTTGTGAGACTAACAATAGTCTAAGCAAATACTACTAATATAAATCATTTTAAAGAAGTAATTAAAACCAATACAAGTTATAAAAAGATGTAATGAAAAATTTATTTACGTATGTTCATTTTATTGCTGTGTTATGTATTGTCAACATAATGTATTAGAACAGAACTGAGATTCAAAGCCAAGACTCTTAGCGAACTTTTAAGGAATAGAAAAATTATCTACATGAAATAAATAATAATTTTCAGCTAAATAAAACACCGATTAAAACTGTCATATATTTTTAATAAAAGTACAATATTTCATAGTTATATAAAGTTATTAATTTTACACTGGTCCACTGAAAAAAAATAAGAAAATAGATAGTTTATAAACAAAATAATTAAGTCTAATAGATAGTTATTAATTAAAAGTAATTTTTGGTATACTATGACATATTTTTTAAAAAAAAAAAGGTTTGTACGCGATTTGACTAGCATAGAATAGTTATTTTGGGTATCCAAATTTGTTTTTACCCACGACATCGGTCGCGTCCCTTCCCGTCGTTTTTACAAATTAACCTTTAAAGATAGATATAACGTCGCGGACTTTTTTTAGATCATTTAAAGAGGAATCATTCTGTCCATTCAGGATGAATAGTTTCCCCAATTTTTTTTTCACATTGCCCGCTGTATCTTCGCTTGTATTAGCTCAAAAATAATTTTAACGCGATGTTCCTGAGATAAGCGCGTTCAAACAATTAAACAAACTCTTCAGCTTTATATATTAAGTATTGACTGAAAGTAAATACTATGTTCTGATATTTTGACATTTTTGTTGATATAACTTCAGTTTTTAAATTTATTTAGCCTATTGTTAAATAATTAATTTTATAAGTTTCATTACCTTTGTTAGGCTATATGTGGCACGGGTATCAAATTAAGCATGTCTTGAAGAGGTTTAAGAATACGTCCAGCTCCTTGATTTGTTTTCGCCGTTTGGGTATCGGTATTGGTTGCTTTATTTACAGGTATAACTAAAAATATAATAATAATACATTTATTACAATTAAATTAAAGTTCACTTCAATACATATGCAAAATGCAAAGTGTTTCAACATTAATTTATGAAGACTGTTGTAGTTGTTTCAAATTTTACACACTTACGTACTTACCATTTATAATAGTCTTATCTTCGGCTGAAATGAGAATCAAAGTGTTTTAAAAGAGGTTGAATTAAAAATAGAGTCAATTTATGGTTCTGAATAGTGGTTGTCAAAATTAAAATTAAATAATAATTCCTCATACACTATAGACTTATTTGTTGACTATACAACGTAAGTAGGTTAAAAAAGCAATTAAAAAAAGGATTCAAATTATGTAACATATTAGAACTTAGGTTTTTTATCATGTTAACAAAATGCTTAAGATAATAAAACTTGCCAAATGAAAACATGATCAGACACGAAGTCAGCAATACCAATACAAACACTGTATTCTGCTTCATGTTGACTGTGTAATGATAGATTACGGAAAATCATTTGATTTTATTCACCTCCAACCCGTTTAGGATCACGACAATTCACTTACACGTGCAATTATAATAAATTATCGAAATTTCATTGACGTCTTTGTTACAACATTGTTTAATCATTCTAATAATAATGATAGATTAATTTTTAATACATGTAGAAATCATTTGACTCTTATAGCTGCTAAGGGTTGTTCAAGTATACAAAAACGTCTGGGCCGAACGATAAGCGAAAATATTGATAACTTATCTTTTTCTCTTAATAAGTTATAGAAGTTTTAAGGGTTAACACAATTACTATTACTATTGTTAACTTAAAATTCGATATTATTTAAGCTACTTTCTGATATTTTCAGGGTTTAAACGCTTCGGATGCTTTGCAGCAGCCTTGGTCACGGGGAGACTAGTTTTATTTGAATGTGTACTACTCGCGTAAACTACAGACAGTATTTATTGCTATGTAAGTTGAATACAAGACATTAGTGAAAAAAACTTTATGGTCTATAAACTTTATTTTCTATTTACCAAAACTGAATTTACAGATAACGAATTAGAATATTATGACAGCTTTATATCAAATTTGAAACTTATAGTTTATGTTCTATAGAAGACCTTACGACGTGTCTTCTTTGCTAACAACGTAAGTACGTGGTTGTGCTGTAGTAGTGGGAGCAGCCGTAGTCGCTGCTTCGGCGTGGACAGCAACATCCATGTTAATCTGAGTGGGGGCGCAGGTAGTTTCAGCTTCTTCGTGGGGTACTAGTTTGGAAGTCATCGGAAATCCTGTAGAAAACAATTTTTGAGTTCTGGATGCATCTTGCATTTTATTCAAATGAGAATTAAATTAATTCAACGTATATTTGATTTCCGACTAATAATATAAGTAACCTTACGCAAAATTTACCACAGCATATGTTAAATTTGTGAATAGTCAAGTTGATAATAAATCCGTAAATGAACATATAATGAAATTTGACACTGTCAATTTTCATTATTATAAAAATTTTACGATCTTAAATCGTTTTTTTATTTGAAAATTATATTAACTACCGCCCGATGTTCCGGGTGATTTGCAGCAGCCGTGGTCACGGGAAGACAGCTTATATATTACACATTTTTAACTGTTAAAGTGTTTTATTAAATGTGTATTACTCGCGTAAACTATAGGCAGTCTTATACTGTTATAAAAGACAAATCGAAAAACAAATACCTATTCTTGAGCCACAAAATATTATAAAGTTGATGAGGCACAATCTAGCTACCAGTTTAGTAAACATTTTGAAGAAGGTTTTACTTTAAATTCCAACAATATGAAACAAATGTTGGCGAAATAAAACCTTTTTCGTTATTTATACGCTAGCTATAACCATAAACTATAAAATATTTATGCTTTCATGAGTATCATTTAAATGTAATTCACGTAATAGATTATTTTCCATAATGTTCTTTCTTTTAATAATTTACAAGGCTTATTAATTATTTTATTGCACTATACAAAAAATAAATAAAATACTAATGATAGAACGAAGTGGAATTGGTAGTCTCTTACAAGAAAACAAATTCGATATATATCAAAGTAAAGAACGTTTTTTAATATGGAACTTGGAGTTTGGGTAGTTTTATAAGTATAATAAGCGTGAGATGTCGGTTCAAGTCGAATTTAGTCGGTCATAATCGATTTTTAATTTATTTGCCATCATGTGCAACAACATGTGAAAAATATTATAGGTTTTCAAACGTTAAATGAGTGGTTACGAACCACCGTCCATAGATGTGAAGTTTATTTGTAATTAATTGTTTCGACTTCAATCTGATTTCACACTGATTAGCGTTAGGGCGTCTATGCAATATGAGACAATTATATGAATATTTTTGAGTTGTTTGTTCGTTTGTAAATAGTTACTGTAAGCGTTTCGTTAATAGTTTTTGGTAGGTTGTTAACCAATTTTGGAATAATGTATTTCAATGTTCTTTTACCGTATACGATATTACATTTTAGATATATACATATATATAGTATATAATATTAATCTTATAATAGTCTCCCCGTGACCACGGCTGCTGCAAAGCATGCGAAACGTCGGGCCGAAGTTAAAAATCATTTTCAAATAAGTTTAACTAATATATCGCGTTTTAAACCGTTAAAGTGTTTTATTTAAATGTGTACTACTCGCGTAAACTATAGACAGTATTTAGATTAATATTATGTTTTCTTAGTGCCCTGTTAATGTTCCCAGTGTCCATTGCAATAATGTCGTAATTTCTATTAAAAGCTTCAGTTCAGTTGTTTCGTGAATTGGTATGACTCTGCACATTCCGAAGAGTCCCCGATAATCCTTGTTGTGTTAACGTCTCAGATTGCTTGGAACATTTTTTTTAAATATTCGAAGTTGTAACGAGAAGATACGGTCGAGATTAGATTTGCACGTTCTTCCATATCAGACCGTACGTTAATATAGATTCGGCCAGCACTTTATATAAAAGTAAGAGTGTTTTATATTGTGTTTTGTGTTTAATTATTGTACATTTAGCTAAAATTGCTCTAGTTTGTCACAAACACTATCAATGTGCGCTTTCCAGTTCAGTCTTGTTTGTTAATCCTAGATATGCTCAAGTTTGACAATTGACATTGATTTAAATAAAACACTTTAACGGTTTAAAACGCGATATATTAGTTAAACTTATTTGAAAATGATTTTTAACTTCGGCCCGACGTTTCGGATGCTTTGCAGCAGCCGTGGTCACGGGGAGACCATAAAAAATCATTTTCAAATAAGTTTAACTAATATATCGCGTTTTAAACCGTTAAAGTGTTTTATTTAAATGTGTACTACTCGCGTAAACTATAGACAATTGACATTGATTTTGCCTTGTTCGTTCGGTCGTTGGTTCGTGACGTGCATTTTGACATTCCTAGCATATAGTCTCTCAATTTTAAGAAGTCTAATAGTTTTCCAAAAATGATAAAGTGATTAGAAATATGTTGAATCCAACCCACAACCCGTTCCCCCACTATCAGAAAAACGAGTTCTTAATTTTAATCTTAATAGATTGTTCATCGCAACAATTTGTTAGTGTCGTGAAAATTGTCAGTCGTGTTGTGGTCATATTTCTTTTTATGAATTTTCACTTTGATTATATTTTATGTCTGTTATAAAATAATTTATTGAACCACGACTTTCTAGAAAGTTTTGAAGCACGTTTTTAGTTTAGTAACCTACAAACGTTGTCTAACGTTCAGAGGGATCGTTTCCCTGGAATATGATAAAATAATGAAACATCTATTTGGATTGTAAAAACCATCGCATGGGCGAGACTTGAACATCCACAAGAAAATATTTATCTTATATTATTTTAGTCGATCCAGGAAAATCACAACAGTATGAATGACAATGAAAGCCAGTGTGCTTTTAGATATGAATTATCTTATTGAATATTACAACATGAAAAATACGTGTGATTATTTTAATTAAAAATTGACCGATCATGTCTGTAGCTAACAACCGTGGTCTAAATGCTACCTTGAAAAACAACTTAGGACATGTAGCTCAATCGTTAGAACAAAAGCTGGAACTATGGGTGCAAGTCCCAATCATCTTGTGTCGTAAAGTCTAAATTTGATTTTTAAATTTCTTTGACATTTCAATACTTAGGCATCTCGTTATGCGGTCATACTTTATTGACGTATTAACGTAAAACTGTACGATTTGATTAGCGTTGTCTCAATAAATTCTTTGTTCGGCAAAAATATTACAATCGCCATCTATTTTATTAAATAACTAGCGGTCCCCTGGCGGTCCTGGCTTCGCACGGGTAGACATAAATAAGTACAAATATTTAAATTTTATGCATGCTAATTAAAACGACCATGAATCACTAAATTAGAAAAAAAAGGCGTATTGCGCGTCCTAGTTGTTAACAACCGTGGTCTATCTCGCTGGTTCAGGAGCCATTGCGAGCGTTTAGTGTTAGTGTCCCGTGCATGCTTTCGCGAATTCCTAGCTCTATTTCCTTCAAGTCGCTGCGACGATCTTGCATTTTGTTCTGCAAGACGAACCTGAACATTCGACGATAGATTCTCTGGCTCGCGGTTGGGACGCGTACACTTTAATACTTTCTAGACGATCATTTTAGAAAGAAGACTCTCCAATACGACGAACTTCTGCTAATCTCGCTTGGAAACTATTCTTAGATAGCTGCGACCTTCTTCTTCTAGGCATATTGCTATGAAGGATGTTTGTTTTAAATCAGAGAAATTAAGAATAAACTAATAATAATACAAAAGAAAATATTCAAGTTCAAAGCGATAGTTCTGAATAGAATTTTGACAAACATTATACAAAGTGTGATTCCTAACACTAAAACTAAGTAGCTTTGAAAAGAACTTTTTAAGTGAAGCATGAAAGTGTTTAAAAAATAATCGAAATATTCAATGTCGTTCGCGCCCACTGCGTAAGGAGCCCACTGCCCCTCTATCGTCGAATTAGTTACTCGATGCGCGACGTGGTGGTCGCCGCCGGCATGTATTTTTTTTTTAATTTCATGATATCTTTTGAATAGAATGTCCGATTTCAATAATTAATAAAGTAGTCACCAGGTATTGAGACAGTCTTGAATATTAAATTATTTATTTGGATACAAATTTATAAATGGTATGGATAACACGGTCTGATTTTGATCGGCATTTCTATTAATTTGTTAAATGTAAAAAAGTAGTTACAGCGACGTAACTACAATATATATGACATACATAGACATGATATGGTCTCGCGATGTTTTTTGTATTCTATAATATTGTCGAACATTTTTTTGTCCTACCATTAACACTTTTCGCATTAAGAAAGACATTTTACGGCTAATTTTATTACGCCTTCCGTTGGTTTTAGTAAGAATGTCTATAGATGCCTATAGTAATAAAGTAATAAATGTAGCCTATGTTACTCAGTGATAATGTAGCTTTCTAATGAAAAAATAATCATTAAAATCGGTCCAGTACTTTTGAGTTACATACAAAAATACAAATCATTCCTCTTTATAATATTAGTATAGATTTTCGCTTGCATGAACGTTTTTCATCAGTTGAAAAGTTAAAATACATTATTATCTAAACCCTACTGATACCACTCCTGTCAAACGTTCTAGTTAACTTAATCATAGCGCAATAAATCTTTATAAGAAGAAAAATTAAATTAGCGTTATATGTTTTTTTCATGGGGATCCCATGACAATTGCTATTTGTAATTAATTTCCAACTGAAATTATTTTTTTGTTCGTTGCACAAAAAAAAAGTTTTTTGTGTCTGATAGTGCAGAGGAAATAGTATTATCATTTTACTAGTAGTAAGGGTAAATAAAATAAAGTTTTGTGGATGCTCAATATAATAAATACTTTACAAACATTTTTTTATAAATAGTAGATATCGATGTTTTCTCATCATCTTCCTTTTTACACTGCCAAGGTCCGTAAAGAGGTAAGGAAAGAAGTTCAATATTAAATCCGTCTAAATGCCTGTAAAAAAAAAAACATATTAGTAAAGATTATTAATAGTAAATATAATAAATAAGTTTTTTCTCATTGATGTTTGTAGAGTAATATTTTTATGTTTTAAAATATAAAAAGATGTTTGAATTAAAACTATACTTTTTTTTATCTTTTTTTACCTTTTCTTATAGGGGGGCAAGGGCAGAGACGAACTCCTGAGGATTTTTGAAAACTCTTAAGTTGCTTATTTCCTGTAAAAACCAAAACAATATTTTGACAAATACTACCTCTCTATACTACTTAATATCTACCTCCTAATAGTTACTAAAGTTTACACTTCACATTGCTAAAAAATCAGTGTTATTTTATGATGTCTGTATCTTTTTATCTATTTTTTTGTTCACATAATGTTTTTTAACTTATTCTTGGTAATCTAGGAGAAGCCTTCAATGTACACTAGGTTGGGTACAAAAACAAATGTTACGTACCTTTTATTTCCAATTGTGGCAAGTACAGGTATCTTCTATAATGTATAGCAGAAGGTCTGTGTTGCCTCAAAAGTGCACCGCACGTGTCTACCAGGTACTCCAAAGTACGTGGATTACTTAGTGGAACTATTCCGCGGTGGGATGTATCACCCAATTTGTAGTTAGCGTCCTTGGTAGCGTTTTTAGATATCGATGTAGTGCCATTTTTTAGAATCTTAAACGGAATGTCACCGTACACGTGGAAGATTATATCCCTTAAATAAGAGTCCTCACCCCTCTTTCCTGGAGCCTTTGGAATCTTCTTCTCTGCGTCAATAATTTTTTGCAAAGCTCCTGAGTCCCGAAGCTGTACAATATAGTCAAACAGTTTAACGATGAAGTTGGACGTCTGAGCTGGTAGATGGTGATCTTGAATATATGTTTCTAGTTGTTTCACGCTTACATCAGAATTGGTTCCCTTTGTGCTATCAATAAACAATGCTATGAGATTTAAAATGTCATCCCTCGATACCTCGCTGTGGTTTTCTTCGAGGCCGTGTAAGTATAAACGTAGAAGTTTCTTCGCTTGTTCTTCATTTGGTTCCATGTTATTTGAAGGTTGAAGGAAATACTCGATCAGTTGTTTTATAAAGTCGTATATGGAATCTGGTGTTCTCATTTGTATGTTAATTGGTTTTCCCTTGCCTTTTCCTATTTCATCAGATGAAGATTCGGAAGACTCTGACGATGGAGAACTGTCTTCGCTAGAAGAAGAGGGGGAGTTATTGTGTTTTCCACCATTTTTGGGATTATTTGACTCATCAGAACTATCAGGTTCGGAACTACTTCCCTCACCGGGTTGGTTGTGTTTGCCCGGTTTTCCAGACTTACCCGGTCTGGGTTTCTGGTGTTTGCCAGGGTTGTTTGGTGAACTTGACTCGTCAGAGCTGTCTGGTTCCTCTGAACTACTTTCCTCGCTAGGTCGGTTGTTTTTACCCGGTTTTCCAGACTTACCCGGCTTGGGCTTCTGGTGTTTACCAGGCTTGCTAGGTAAACCTAATTCGTCAGAGCTGTCTGGTTCCTCAGAACTACTTTCCTCGCTGGGTTGATTGTGTTTGCCTGGTTTTCCAGACTTACCCGGTTTGGGCTTCTGGTGTTTACCAGGCCTGCTAGGTGAACCCGATTCGTCAGAGCTGTCTGGTTCCTCAGAACTACTTCCCTCACCGGGTTGGTTGTGTTTGCCCGGTTTTCCAGACTTACCCGGCTTGGGCTTCTGGTGGTTACCAGGCCTGCTAGGTGAACCCGATTCGTCAGAGCTGTCTGGTTCCTCAGAACTACTTTCCTCGCTAGGTCGGTTGTTTTTGCCTGGTTTTCCAGACTTACCCGGCTTGGGCTTCTGATGGTTACCAGGCCTGCTAGGTGAACCCGATTCATCAGAGCTATCTGGTTCCTCAGAACTACTTCCCTCACCGGGTTGATTATGTTTGCCTGGTTTTCCAGACTTACCCGGTTTGGGCTTCTGGTGTTTGCCAGGGTGGTTTGGTGAACCTGACTCGTCAGAGTCTGTCTGATTCCTCAGAACTACTTTCCTCGCTAGGTCGGTTGTTTTTGCCTGGTTTTCCAGACTTACCCGGCTTGGGCTTCTGGTGTTTACCAGGCTTGCTAGGTGAACCCGATTCATCAGAGCTGTCTGGTTCCTCAGAACTACTTTCCTCGCTAGGTCGGTTGTTTTTGCCTGGTTTTCCAGACTTACCCGGTTTGGGCTTCTGGTGTTTACCAGGCCTGCTAGGTGAACCCGATTCGTCAGAGCTGTCTGGTTCCTCAGAACTACTTTCCTCGCTGGGTTGATTGTGTTTGCCTGGTTTTCCAGACTTACCCGGTTTGGGCTTCTGGTGTTTACCAGGCCTGCTAGGTGAACCCGATTCGTCAGAGCTATCTGGTTCCTCAGAACTACTTTCCTCGCTGGGTTGATTGTGTTTGCCTGGTTTTCCAGACTTACCCGGCTTGGGCTTCTGGTGTTTACCAGGCCTGCTAGGTGAACCCGATTCGTCAGAGCTATCTGGTTCTTCAGAACTACTTTCCTCGCTAGGTCGGTTGTTTTTGCCTGGTTTTCCAGACTTACCCGGCTTGGGCTTCTGGTGTTTACCAGGCCTGCTAGGTGAACCCGATTCGTCAGAGCTATCTGGTTCCTCAGAACTACTTTCCTCGCTAGGTCGGTTGTTTTTGCCTGGTTTTCCAGACTTACCCGGCTTGGGCTTCTGGTGTTTACCAGGCCTGCTAGGTGAACCCGATTCGTCAGAGCTATCTGGTTCCTCAGAACTACTTTCCTCGCTAGGTCGGTTGTTTTTGCCTGGTTTTCCAGACTTACCCGGCTTGGGCTTCTGGTGCTTACCAGGCCTGCTAGGTGAACCCGATTCATCAGAGCTATCTGGTTCCTCAGAACTACTTTCCTCGCTGGGTTGATTGTGTTTGCCCGGTTTTCCAGACTTACCCGGCTTGGGCTTCTGGTGTTTACCAGGCCTGCTAGGTGAACCCGATTCGTCAGAGCTGTCTGGTTCCTCAGAACTACTTTCCTCGCTGGGTTGATTGTGTTTGCCCGGTTTTCCAGACTTACCCGGCTTGGGCTTCTGGTGTTTACCAGGCCTGCTAGGTGAACCCGATTCGTCAGAGCTGTCTGGTTCCTCAGAACTACTTTCCTCGCTAGGTCGGTTGTTTTTGCCTGGTTTTCCAGACTTACCCGGTTTGGGCTTCTGGTGTTTACCAGGCCTGCTAGGTGAACCCGATTCGTCAGAGCTATCTGGTTCCTCAGAACTACTTTCCTCGCTAGGTCGGTTGTTTTTGCCTGGTTTTCCAGACTTACCCGGTTTGGGCTTCTGGTGTTTACCAGGCCTGCTAGGTGAACCCGATTCATCAGAGCTATCTGGTTCCTCAGAACTACTTTCCTCGCTGGGTTGATTATGTTTGCCCGGTTTTCCAGACTTACCCGGCTTGGGCTTCTGGTGTTTACCAGGCCTGCTAGGTGAACCCGATTCGTCAGAGCTATCTGGTTCTTCAGAACTACTTTCCTCGCTGGGTTGATTGTGTTTGCCTGGTTTTCCAGACTTACCCGGCTTGGGCTTCTGGTGTTTACCAGGCCTGCTAGGTGAACCCGATTCGTCAGAGCTATCTGGTTCCTCAGAACTACTTTCCTCGCTGGGTGGGTTATTTTTGCCCGGTTTTCCAGACTTACCCGGCTTGGGCTTCTGGTGTTTACCAGGCTTGCTAGGTGAACCCGATTCGTCAGAGCTATCTGGTTCCTCAGAACTACTTTCCTCGCTGGGTTGGTTGTTTTTGCCCGGTTTTCCAGACTTACCCGGTTTGGGCTTCTGGTATTTACCAGGCTGGCTAGGTGAACCCGATTCGTCAGAGCTGTCTGGTTCCTCAGAACTACTTTCCTCGCTGGGTTGATTGTGTTTGCCCGGTTTTCCAGACTTACCCGGCTTGGGCTTCTGGTGTTTACCAGGCCTGCTAGGTGAACCCGATTCATCAGAGCTATCTGGTTCCTCAGAACTACTTCCCTCACCGGGTTGGTTGTGTTTGTCCGGTTTTCCAGACTTACCCGGCTTGGGCTTCTGATGGTTACCAGGCCTGCTAGGTGAACCCGATTCGTCAGAGTTGTCTGGTTCCTCAGAACTACTTTCCTCGCTAGGTCGGTTGTTGTTTGCCCGGTTTTCCGGACTTACCCGGCTTGGGCTTCTGGTGTTTACCAGGCCTGCTAGGTGAACCCGATTCATCAGAGCTATCTGGTTCCTCAGAACTACTTCCCTCACTGGGTTGGTTGTGTTTGCCCGGTTTTCCAGACTTACCCGGGCTTGGGTTTCTGGTGTTTGCCAGGCCTGCTAGGTGAACCCCGATTCATCAGAGCTATCTGGTTCCTCAGAACTACTTTCCTCGCTAGGTCGGTTGTTTTTGCCTGGTTTTCCAGACTTACCCGGCTTGGGCTTCTGATGGTTACCAGGCCTGCTAGGTGAACCCGATTCGTCAGAGCTATCTGGTTCCTCAGAACTACTTTCCTCGCTGGGTTGATTGTGTTTGCCCGGTTTTCCAGACTTACCCGGCTTGGGCTTCTGGTGTTTTCTAGGATTACTTGGGGAACCCGACTCATCAGAGCTATCAGATTCCGCAGAACTGCTATCATCGCTAAGATTTGTTAAATATTCCAACTTGTCTAATACCTTATCCTCACAAGGCTTTTCTTCGTGACTGTTAGAATTTTGGTTTTCATATTGAATAAAGTCGTCAACAATTTTATCTTCGCAGTCGTCATCGTTTTGTGTGTCCTCATTAATTGACCGACTCGATCTGTTCCGTCCATGATGTCTAGTCTGTGAAGGGTTTCGCCTCTTTTCCTTATTACGCGATCGTTTTCTTGTATTGTCTTCATCACTGGATTGTGCACTATCTTCTGAAGACGCTGGTTTTTTAGATTGTTTATGCTTCCTATTTTTCCTGGCTGGTTTCGATTTTTTTTCTTTATCTGAATTTTCCTCACTAGATTCTTCTGTATTTTTTTTATTGTTTTTGGAATCCGTTTTGTCACTAGTAGATGTATCGAGGTCATCATCTGTTTCTTCGTTGCTTTTCGTATTTTTGCTCTTTTTCTTTTTGCTTTGATCGCCATTACTTTCATTTGATTCATCACTTTCGGATGTATCGTTATCATTTTCTTTTTGTTTAGATTTATCTTTTGTTGATTTCTCTGCACCAATTGGCTTGGAAGATTCTTTTTCCTTATTGTTTTTATCTGTACTACTTCCAGCCTCCGTTTTATTTCCAGTATTTTGTTGCTGCGATGACTTGGGCTGCGTAGCATTTTTACTTTTAGAATTTATTTGCCCATTTGATTTACTTTCAGGTTCTGAAGTGTTTTTTGATGGCTGTGATTGATCATCCTTTTCTTGGCTCTTTGTTTTGTTTGATGACTTTTCTTTAGGAGTGCCCTTTATTGGTTTTTGTGATTCACCGGTTTTAGGTTCTGTTTGGTTTTTACTTTTTGCTGCGCCTGTAGTATTTGATGAAGCGGGTGAATTTTTCGAGCCAATGCTTGCGTTTTCATTGTTCGGTATGATGGGTTTCCTTTTCCTTTTGCGTCTGTTCGTTGTTGTAGTTGCTAAAAATAATGAGAGATCAGTTTGATAATTGACGACGAGATAAATAAGAAAGTGTTAATTTAATCAAGTAAAAATAATAAAGTTGACAATCAAATAACTTAGTGTAAGTCTACTTCAATTTCTTTTGGTGCTTTTTGTCAATGGTTTGAGATACCTTGCGCAGCTGCATTAGCTGTTGACTGACCATTTCCATTAGATCCAGCTAAAAACATAAAAGTGTCTTAATAATAATCACAACGGGTTAATTGTTATTGTTTCCTATCCTTTCTAAAATTCATGTACATATGTTAAAGATAGTAAAAAATTTTTTAACAGTAATTATGCAGAAGAAATAACGATTCCTAGTGCATGTACACAATATTGTACCCGTTCAAGTTAAGAATCAAGCACTTGACAATTGACAAGATTTTTTCAGAACTCGCGCTCTCGATATGCTAATATTATGAGTTTTTACATAGCTACCTTATTCTTGTCTGTATAAGAAATATTATAAAAGTACTTACCAGTCGCCATTGCTTGCGCATCTGTTAACAAATATGGACTGATAATTCAAGTAATGTGTTAGTTAATTTCATAAATTCATAGTGAAAAAAACGGTTTTTAACGAATTAAAAATTATAATATTTTAAAAACAGTTTTAATCACCAAAAATCAATGCAAAAATTTCGCAAAATTAGATTATACAGTCTGTTTAGCTATTTGTTTAAATAGAACATTATTAGCTATTGAGAATAAATATCATATTAAGTTCAAACTAACCAGCTGTTGAAGGTTCTAATGAGTCATAGTAGTCTGAAAAAATAATAAGAAAACTTTATTAATTTTTACAAATCGGCATCGTCAGCGTTCCGTGCTGTTGCTCTACCAATTGAGCTACCGACTCGGTAGCTCAATTGGTAAAAAATTGGTCGAAAATTTTTTCAATTTATTTTCGATTTTTAAATTAAATAATAAGAATATAATATTGTGACCTTAGAAACAAGCCAAACTTCAAAATAATGCTATAACTAGCCGTTACTAGCAACTTCTTTAATAAATGCAAATGATTAGCTACTGTAAGCCCTCTATACGATTATTAAATATAAGGACTGATTTTTATTCAATATAAAGTTGACGATAAGCAAAATTAAAAAAAGCATTGTCGCGAAGTTTGCACTTATCGTGTTTAATGAATAAATTAACAACTTACAGTCATCTGTGTCAGCTGTAAAAAAAATTAACAACATAAGTAGGTATGTACTTACACAAAATAGAAATAGTTGGTCTTAAATATCACTATATTTTACTCAGTCAAACAACTAACGTCTACAATGTAACGTTTAAAAAAAGTAATAAAACGGTTTAAGTTTGCGCTAGTGTGCATTGCTCCTAACGCACAATTCACGCAGTGTGAGCTAAGCTTAATACTATAAAATTTTCAGAACTCACGTGCTCCTGGTGGTTCTAATTGGTTCGCAGGCTCATCTGGAAATAAGTTATAAATTTGTTATTAATTTTATCTATAGACTAGCTGTGCCAGCGACTTCGTCCGCTAAGAATATCCATATTCAGGCATCCAAATTCGTATTTGCAAACCCCCCTCTTTATAAACTTAAGCTGTTTACCCACGACGTCGATCGCGTCCTTTCCCGTCGTTCTTATAAGTTAATATTAAAAGATAGACATATAGCGTCGCGGACTTTTTTTTATATTATTTAAAGAGGAATCATTGTTTCATACATTTTTGCTGCGTACGCAATTTTCCCAAAAATTTTCACATTTCCTGCTGTATCTTCGCTTGTATTAGTCACAGGGCGACGTTTTATAGCCTTCCTCGATAAATACTAAAACCAAATCGAACTATTTGAAATATTATTTTTCAATTCGACCCCGTAGTTCCTGAGATTAGCGCGTTCAAACAATCAAACAAACTCTTCAGCATATATTAGTATAGATAAACTTTATTACGGGTTTTGACAGATTTCGAGAATATGCTTAGGCATGGCATTAAAAGCTATAGATAGATTCAATTCACCGTCAAACATAATAAAAGTGAATAAATTTAAGTTTTGACATTAAGTAACACGACATACTTCGTTTGCAAACATTTTCAAATACTTTTATCTGACGGACTGTTCCCCCCATTTGCTGTAAAGATTGAAAAATAACTTTTCTAAATTACATACTAAACTCCGACAAAGAAAACTAATTGGTAATTCATCTACAAATTTACGTACCATTAGCACATCCTCCGGCATTTCCACTACCTTCACCGTTTGCGGTTACTGTAAAAAAAAAAAACAGAAAAATATAACTTTCATATTTTTCACATGATGGCATATAAATTAAAATTCGATTATAAATTGAAAACAATTGTGAGAGGTGCTTGTATAATTAAGAAAAAAAATCGACGATGACGTAGGACTCGGTTGCTCAAGTGGTTAGAGCATCAGCACGGAACGCTCTGTATGCCGGTTTAAGTCCTGCCCCAGCTCGAGTTTTTTTTCAATTTTTGGAACACCGTAAAATATACTTTCTTTAAAATACTTAACAGAAGAATATTAGACTAATTTATATATCACTAGCGGCCCTGTCCCGGCTTCGCACGGGTAGAAAAAAGGTACAATATTAAATTATAAGCATCTAATTAAAACGACCATGAATCACTAAATTAGAAAAAATGTATTGCGGTCCTAATCGTTAACAACCTCGAGTCACTGTTCGCGAATTCTTAGTCTATTTCCTTCAAGTCGCTCGACGATCTTGCGTGTACTTAAGAAAAATGAAAATCACGTAGATTCTCTGGCTCGCGATTGGGACTCTCCAACCGACTTTTGCTAATCTTGCTGCGTACTTACTTAAGGAGCTCACTGCCCTTCTATCGTCGAATAGTTACTCGATGCGCGGCATGGCAGCCGGTTTATTTAATTTCAATTCTTGATTGGCTGTCTCAATAATTAAAAAAGTTAATCAGGTATTGAGACAGTCTTAAACATTGAATTTATTACATATATATTTATTTGGATAAAAATTTATAAATGGTATGAATAACACGGTCTGATTTTGATCGGCATTTCTATTAATTTGTTAAATGTAAAAAAGTAGTTATAGCGACGTAAGTACAATAGTTAGACATATGCTCTCGCGATGTTTTTTGTAGATATTGATATATTCTATAATATTGTCCGACATTTTTTTTGTCCTATCATTAATACTTTTAATTTAAGAATTATTAAAATCGAACTAGTACATTTTTAATTTATCCGTTACATACAAAAATACAAATCTTTTCTCTTTATAAAATTTAGGTACATTTGTACCTATTCTCTTTTCCATGTAAGCAAAACAAACAAAATGTCTTTACCACAGAATATCAGTGTTGGGACATTACTCGCCTGTGTTACTTTTAAATAAACGTATTTTGATTGGACTTGTATACTAAATGCTATGGTTGTAACCTGTGTGAATGTAAGAAGTTAGTGGTGGTGAGGCCTCTGTAGCTTAATGGTTTAACGTGTTGCCTAGCGTTGCGTTAAAGAAGGTAAAAAAATAAATTCATACCACTAGCAGCAACCTCAACATTGGCATTTCCCGCTCCATTCGCGGTGGCTGAAAATTGATATTCTGTTAGTAGGCGCAGGATGCTATTTTAAAATTTATTCGAGCGTGGCACGTTGTTTTTTAGGTGTCTAATACGTCTGTTTCAGTGGCCCAATGCTTTAAGTGCAGTCGATCAGGCTAAGACGAGACTAGGCTTCACGAATATTGACGAAGTGAGTCCAGCGGCTTTTTTAACAATTTTTAATTTTCAACCCTTATAAGAAAGGTGTGCTCGGTCGAGTTAAAGACATATTTATTATCGTGGTCTCTACGATTTTGTACTTTCTATTTTCTTAAGTACAGTGAATGCTCTAATATTAAGAGATCTAAAAGAAGGTAAAACATTAAATAAAACACTTTAACGGTTTAAAACGGGTAGACTCCCCGTGACCACGGCTGCTGCAAAGCATCCGAAACGTCGGGCCGAAGTTAAAAATCATTTTCAAATAAGTTTAACTAATATATCGAGTTTTAAACCGTTAAAGTGTTTTATTTAAATGTGTACTACTCGCGTAAACTATAGACAGTATTTAGGTAGAACAATAGATAAAGTATTACAATACAATCATTTGAGCATATCGTTCAAAATAAACTTACCACTTGCAGCAACATTTGCTGTGTCACTTGGTACTGAAACAAACAATTAACAAAATTATTAATGTTATTTTGTGTATTTATTTACATGAATCCATCCAAGGGCCCGACGTTTTAGTTACTTAGTTAAGTTAACAATTGCCTGAGGCTTACGGTTACATAAAATCTATAATTATAATTAAAAACTATATATTGTAAGACACAGATCAACTGGTATCTGTCTTCCATGATGTTGGGTTAGTAGTGCTTTGAATTGTAAGTAGTTATTAATGGCTTACCAGGTAGTATACTCTCCCCAAGTAGTGCTATAGGTAAAACTAAGAAATAAATAAATATAAATTTGTATCGCCTTCCCATCGTACTGTTGCCTGCTAGGGCTGACGAATTTAACATAAAGATTTAACAATATCCAATATATATAGAAAAAAAAGCCGTAAAACAATAAGTATTCCCGAATCCGACTTGTCGTGATAGATATATCGATAAAGAATTATTGCGTTTCAATATAAAAGTCGTGATCATTTACGATAAAAAATACATATTTTCCTATAATAAACGATTTTATTATTAAATTAAACTCTATTGAACTCTTAATAGTAGTTTATTATTTTCCCATATTAGTTTTTAGCCTGCGTATGTTCGTTAATCTTAAACGCCAAAACAATTGGACAAATTTTTTCATTCAGTTGGCGTTAGTATAGCTGTCTTTCTGGAATACCTAGTTTTAATAGTTTATTATAAAACAACATTAGTTTATTACCTTGTAGAATAGCCGTATCTATACTAATATATAAAGCTGAAGAGTTTGTTTGTTTAAACACGCTAATCTCGAGAACCACGGGTTCGAATTGATGCTTTTTGTGTTTGTTAGAGCATTTATCGAGATAGGCTAAAGGCTATAAAACATCGCCCTGTGACTAATACAAGCGAAGATACAGCAGAAAATGTAAAAAAAAATGGCAAAATTATTCATCCGTATGGGCTACCGAGGCGTACACTGCAAAAAACGGTTCTAATTTAAAAAAAAGTCCGCGACGATATATGTCTATATTTTAAGATTAACTTGTAAGAACGACGGGAAATGACGCGAACGACGTCGTGCGTTTTTGCAAAAACGAATTTAGATGCCCAAAATAAATATTCATAGCGGGCAAAGTTACTAGCACAGTTATAAATATTTTCACTAATGCATCTTTACTTCTATCCTTATATTATTAAGCTTACGTACATATTTTTATGTATAAAACAGATCTAAAATGTCGGGGACAATATATGACTATCTTTAAAGATTAACACACAAAAACGACGGGACGCTGTCGACGTCAAAGCTGAGGAGGTTGTTTGCAATAATAAATAAAAAGTTAAAACTCTATAAAATCGTGTTACTGAACCGTATTTTCTATTCTACTGTAATAAAGCTCATATCTTCTTTCAACACAAGTCTCATACAGATTCGTAATAATGTAGACATCTTGAGTTTATGGCTTCGGTAGAATAACTTCAATATAGCCATTTTGCGAACTCCTTCCTTTCGCTGTCGTATGCACCTCGTAATTTTCAACCATTCCAATATTCATATTGGAAATCTTTACATATTGTCTGAATATTGTGTGCAATCTGTGTACTATCGACTTTGCTTTCGTATTATGCGCCTTAGCATTTTGGTAGAACCCATATGGATAAAAAAATATAATGATTTCTAACTAGGTCTAATAACGAAAGATTAATGCTTATTATTATTTATATATATACATTATTTACGCAATTTATTGTATATCTATCGGGTTTATCATAATATTGTATTCTTAAGTTTCTATAAATAAAAATGGATTATACGTAAACAGTGCGCAATAAATTGAAAAACTGGTACGAAGTACTACAAATCTGAAACAAAGAATTGTTTTAGTAGAGTTACACTATCTGTCGCTTCGTATGATCGTATCTCATCTATAATTTTAACAATAGGTAGCAGTCAAGAATAATCTTACGTCTTTTTGAATTAAAATTTAACGCTAAATGTGTTTACTTCATTTTTTGATCTTATGAGATCAATACAAGTCGTTGATCTTTCATTCGAATTTGGAAGACGAAGGACGTTCTAAACAATAGCATAGATACTTACCCTGCTAAATGTATCCATATTCATAATAATGAACCCATTTCCCGTGAGCTCCAACGGCTTTTGGGTTCGCATCATGAGCATCAACATTATCTTCTTCATCTCAGGGCTGGCGTAGAGCCAATCCGATGAATAAATTGATTCCGTTAAATTCTCGCTCTGGCAATTGTTAAATAATAATTATAATACCTTTTAAAACGCGAAATATATTAGTTGACTTATTTTTAATTTAACTAAGCTCTAACATTTTGCATGTTTGTTTTAGAGTCAAGTTCCCCCGTGACCACAGCTTCTACAATAATAAGTTGACTAATATAACCTTTGACCTTTAACGTTTGATCTCACGGTTTTGAGTTGTGTGCACTTTCTACACCTATCAATGAGGCTTTGGTACATCTTAAGTATAAATAGTACATACATGATCGCTTATAATTTGACCCATAAAACACTGGCTGAATACTTCCACCAATAGCGACACGCACATCGCAGCGTAACGCATCCTCAGATACAAGTTTGTGACAACCTGTTATAAAAATAATGTATCTATCAGTACCGAAATTAAAAATTAAATGGTTACCAACATTGAAACTGGAATGTTTTTTTATATGTTGGTAGATCTAAGATTTAATTTTAAAGCAATATATATAGTATCTAAATATTTTCCCTCTTACCTTACTTACATTTCCATGTGTATGTGCAAAACATTTACTAGGTGAGTTATTTTATAAATTAAACAGTCAATTATATCTTCTGGAAACAGTTCTTCAGAAGATAAGGAATCACTACGAATATTGTAAATGCAAAAGTAGCTCTGTCTGTCTGTCCGGTTTTCACGCCAAAACTACTGCCCCGAATTAAATGAAATTTGGTACACAGATGTTCTAGAGCCTGAGAAAGGACATAGACTACTTTTTCAAAAACGGGTTCTTAGGGGTTGAAAAGAGGGATGAAAGTTTGTAGGGAAATTCGTGATTTTTGAAGCTAGAACAATGAAATGATCTTCTTTGGCTTTTTGGGAAAAGGGATGAGATTGGGAGTTAGAGTGGTAGTGATGTGAGGAGAGAGTGGGAGTGTTGCGGCAAAGTAGCACTTACAACACAGATTGGCTTGAATGCGCCCTTTTCGATGACATGCATTGTAAAACCTTTTGCTGTACGAAAACAGGTGATAAGGGGTTGGATGAGGTATGAAAAGTTGTGTGGATGTATCGTAATATATTTAAAAACTTACTAATATTATAAAAGCTAAAGTAACTATAAAAGTGCACTCAAATAAGCATATAAAAATACACTATACCATGTATATACTTTTTTAAGAATAACTTAATAATCTCTTTGCAGTGAAACACTGTATCTAATTGTGTACACGTGTGTCTCATTAAATTTATAAAATAAATAAATACACAGCATAAATAAAAGACCAAGGAGGTTACGATTAGCGATAGTCCTACTTTCAGTGAATGGGCCACTGAAAGTATACATAAAAATAGACGAAAACTGTATGAGTTGTACTCAGAAAGTCAGCTAAATAGGATAGAAGAATTTCTAAACTATGTAAAAACCTTCACAAAACTTTTAAACAAACTGTCTAATGGCTAAATCTAAATATATAAGTGATAAAATTCGTAATAGTGTAAAGTGAAATCAACATAGAAAATTATTAAAGCAGAAACTAACAAAGTAAAATCACAAGATAATAATTATAAACTTAATACAAATGGTAAAATAGTCACACCAGACGCCAAAGTCGCTAACGAATACGAATTATTCTTCTCATATAATGTAATCAAAAATTAAAACAAAATAATTACACTTGACGTAAAGGCTGTTAGACAAATGAAAACAGCCCCTAAAGAGTAATTTAGGAGCATAGCTATTCCCAAAACAGTATCTAGTGCAGCGACTCGCCTGAAAAAAAAAACTATAAAATATACTCTTAGTTAAAGTAATACGATCTGGCCATGAGTTACAGGTACTAAATCTCAGGTTGCCATGAACAATTTACAATCAATTAGAATTATTTATATTAATAAATAAATAAATAAGAATGGTTTTGTAAATACAATATTGGGCAAGATTAAAAAAGTATATACAAATATATATCATACTAGTTTGCTTATTTTTATTGTGTTTGTTGTGGAAATATTATCACTCACTTGGCTAAATCCTCATGCCTTGCTATCAAAGCTTTCAATTTTATAGTAGCTCTGTTTTGTATGTTAACGACGTCTATTCCTAGCTTAATCATCTCAACATCATCTGAACTCAGTATTTCCTCAATACAATTACCAAGTATCTTTAGTTCCATGCAGGTCAAGATAATCAATGTTGCATTGAGCATATTAGTAAACGCATATACAAACACAACCAAAGTAGTCATACAACTTTCCCAAACGTATGCTCCGCCATAAAAATTGATTTTATCGAATGGATACCAGGCATCAAAGGGGTAAAGGTACTCTTTGATACCCAAGAATCGTTCTTCATACTTCATCATGATATAAGGAAAAGAGTTAACCATGATTGAGAGAAGAGCAGAGTAATAAAATAGGAAACGGTTCATATACTTAGTAGTGCGTCTATAGTAACCAACAATTCTCTTATGAGCATCCGAATTGGGTGAAACAATATCCCACATATGATCTTGAAAGTGCGTAAATATGTCATCGTATAGTCTTCTGTTCGTTTGTATTTTTATGTATTTCACTAGCGACATAACGCAAACGCCAAAGTTCGGTACGACGTTGATAATCGTCAACCAATCTGCCTTTGATGATAAAATCGTTACGATTAATTGCAAAGTTGTACAAAGAATTAAAACATTGATAAATGAATACCCGATCATTGCAATTCGAGAGCGTCCCAAAAAGGGTATAAGACATAGCTTATTGCCGACAGAACGCAAGAAAGCTAGTTCTGAAAGAATTCCTTGACGTAAGTTTTTAATCGACATATTGTTAAACGAGGCGACGGCAGACTGAGGTAGGATCAGCTTTGACTTTGCATTAAATGTTTAATTGAAAGGTGAAGATGACAACTAAATAATTGCGCAAGAGAATTTTAAATTGGTTACTAGAACACAGACTGTATAATCAAACATTAAATTCATTTTGTGTACAGTATGATTAGAGGAAAGTATTCTTAATTTAAACAAGTTTTATTTATGTGTGTGAAATGCCGTTTCCCCTCTTGAGGCATAGCGCGAACACATTTCTGTATCCGGTTCACGGATCGGTTTTATCTGAAATAAAACCGATTAGACTTCTGTGCCCTGCCCCGACCGAAACAATTTACTGTTTCCCTGGGATTTGAACCCAGGACCTCTCACGCTTAACACAATGAAACAAACACGTTTAACTATATAGCTACAGATGCGGTCCGGATAATTTTAAAGTTAACGACTGCTCTATATTTTTGTAAATATGTTATTTTTTTGGTGTCCAACTACGATGGAAAAAAAAATTAATAAAACACTAACGGCAGTAGTCACGGGGAGATGAATGCTGAAAAGCATCCGAAACGTCGGGTCGTAGTTTAAATAATATTGAAATAAGTTTAATTTATATATTCTGCGTTGTACGCCGTTAAATCGATTACTCGCGTAAACTACAGACAGTATTAAGAAAAAAAAAAAAAAAGTAAACTGAAATGCTATTGAAGCAAACAAATTACTTCAAAAACACAAATCTCTATATACTATTAAGAACGTTTAACGTTTTCCCATAATAACATAGCTATCAATCATATACGATATTTACCTTACTAAATACTGTTATAGCAAACTCGCTATTTACGCTACGAAATAGAGAATCTTTTTGCATAAATAAAACAAGACGGTACTATAATTTAATTCTGACAGAAATAGGTCAAGACGCTCTTAGGCGTAGCGATTGCTTATAATTTGCTCTATTGTTCGCTAAATCACAGAAGGGCGTCACTCCACAATACTTGGGGCCTTTGATGCATGACTAATATGGACATTAATCCGATGAGAGCATGTCATCCACTCAATGCTAATGTATACCGGCTTTATAACTTCCAAATTCCCTTTGTGTGATTGCTGACTCGAAAATTATAATGTTAATATTAAGTTAATTATACTACTTGGTGAGTTTTTATGATAGAGGAGGACAGACACGCATGGGGGGGGGGGGACAAGGTTGGTTGGTGAAACATCCCAGCCATGTACATTTAAACAGATGCGCTTTTGACCTGTACGAAACAAACAAAAAAGTTTTTTTTTTTTTTTTTTTTTTTAATAAGCACCGCTTATTGTTGTTTTGGTTGTACTAAATAAACACATACATATTCGTCGGCTCCCTTAGTATAAATTGAAATACAACAGTAAGATATGTTGTCGACCTATTTTGTTTAACAATATAAAAAAACATATAATCTAGGGACTGTATATCTATTTTTTAATATAACTCGTCTATCCTATACCTAATACGGTTTTGAGTGGTTCCCATAAGACAGGCCTTGACAGACATTGCCTAGTTTGGGATCACATTAAAAACAAATTAAATATACATCCACTTACACAAGTAGCACATATGTTTTTAGTATCACATACTCTTTAGATATACTGTACTACACTTTTTTATATATAGTGAGTCTATAAGACAAAGTTTATTGTGATTAAAATAGGTAAATCTTTATACCACTATCACTAGTTTGTATAGATTTTAGTTTTAACAGATGTGTATTAAATATGTAAAACCTGTGTATAAAAAAAAAATAAATAAAATAAAAAAAAATAAAAAAATTTGGCTTTTGACGTTCTACAATCTACAGACTGAAAACGCAACGCGATTAAGAATAATCGCCTTGCGTTTTGCTTTTTGTCTATCTCCTTTTACTGTCTGTGTTTCTCTGTCTACCGCCTTTTACTGTCTGTGTCTATCTGTCGATAGTGGTTCTGACCTGGAAGAAATTTAGGAAATATAATTAATACTGTAATTCTCCTATCCACATTATTTTTTACATATTTTTCCCTTCGTTTTTACTTGCTTTATTCATATCTAAGATTGCTTTTAGATTATAGAATAATTACAAAATTAAAGCTTAATAGTTTAGTAGTATTTTTTTGTTGAACGGTTGACAGACTCACGGATAAAAAAAATTGATTTGTATTTCAATAAATATTTCTCAACGGGGAGCATTCAGTATTGTACCTTCAATAGGTATGAATCGACACGCAAATGTTTTCTAAAATTGCGAATACAGAAAGGCATTCGTCTTCAAATTGTGTTCATTCGCGGAATGCGTTTCGAATCCTTATAAATGTGAACCGGTACGGTCCTGATTACTCTTACGAATACCAGAATATGATGGTCTTCCCTTCTCCTCTCTGTGTTAAGAATTTTCAGGCCCACGGCACTTTCTATATGTAAACGAGTGTCTGAATAAACTGGATATACTACAACGCATTTATGAGTATTTTTCATTCGCACATAGGATACGTTTTATATTTAAAGAGTTTAGTTTTATAGTAAATTCTGACGTACATGAAAAAGCATTGATTAACGAATTAAATACTGTCAGTAGTTTACGCGAGTAGTACACATTTAAATAAAACACTTTAACGGTTTAAAACGCGATATATTTAAGTTAAACTTGTTTGAAATGTATTAATAACTATAGCCCGACGTTTCGGATGCTTTGCAGCAGTTGTGGTCACGGGGAGACCAGGTCTCAGAGCCTAAAATATATCGCGTTTTAAACCGTTAAAGTGTTAGTGAAAAATTGGAGTTTTAATTTTTTCAGCTGATGAGTTTTGGTAAAAATTAATAATTAATAAAGAAATATATAGTTTATAAAAACAATTGGTATATAAAGGTCAATTTACATCCCTTTTTGATACATTAGATATAAATACAAGAATTGAAAAACGAATACAATCCACAAACAGCTCCATATAGTTCCAAGATAAAGGGATAAGGATGTCTTGAAGAATAATAACGAGAAGGTTATGAGGTAGATATGTTCCCGAAGGCACAATGGGGAGATCGAGCATTCTATTCCAAGCGAACAAGGTCTCACACGTCAAATTTCACATCTTGAATAGCGTCACCCCATGGAATCTTTATAAATAGTTGCGCAAAGGTGATGCTTAATTTGATGGAAATCAGGCTGAATGCGTGCCAGGAAGTCAACGGATTGCATGAGCTCTGAATGGCCCGCGATTTAATTGAGCCAGAGATTAAATTGGACTTGAATTAACGGCCATTGTTAACTTTTCAATGTGAATGCATTTTTGTGTTCCTGTATCAAAAATGCTCTTGAATATTTGACGCTAGACAAATGACATTCGATAATGTCTGGCTATCTTTTGTTTTTTATAAGTGAATTTGTGTTTCGTTTTCATCGAGACCCAATTAATCAAATTGAGAAACATATTAAAATTACAAATGTTTATGCATTGTAAATAGCTTTCGCAGCCATTTTGTAGTTGTAACGATCAAATCAAACTTGTCACAAACGCAAGTAGCTTTATAATTTTTATATTTAGCATTTAAAAATTGGCTATGATATTGCGGAAAACAAATATATTTCTAAGAATATTATTTATTTTATTGATCTAATGAATTTATTTACACAGACCGGCTCGTTGGTGTTCTCATAGGAATCTATGGCCATTAACAAGAGGCCGTGGCTTCGATCCCTACCAATCTATGGCCATACCGTGCTCATCCCTACCTATAAAGTTAGGGATCCAACACGGTGTTTTTCATTTATGAGTAATTTTATAATTACTGACTGAAATGATGGACTTCGTCCGAAAATCTGGATATAAAAACGGGAGAAAGGAATATCGAAATTCCGTCCAGTTTAATGAATTACCGTCCAAAAATGTAATAGCTGTGAAATTTAATCTCGTTAAAGTTTTATTGCGTGGGGTTTTCGATTCCATGGAAGAGGTTGTTTAGATGTTATATGGCTGTGGTATGTGAACCCCCAGGCTTTTCTGTCCCCCTCTTATGTAAAAATAACATATAAATTAAGTACTTTAACTTTAATTTAAATAGTTTTGGGATGCTTAGCAGCTAGTTAGCTAAATTTAAAGGTAACAAAACAAAATTTTAAAAACTAACTAATAAATTCAGCTAGTAAATGTTTTTATATAAATAGCGAACATGTTTATTCAAAGCAAGTCAAATAGACCGAACATTAAAAATAATAATTCTCCACCATATTAACATGGCGTTCAGTACTTCGTAACTTTATAGAATTAAGTTTTAGTTCGTAACAGGCACTTACAGTTAGTAGTAAGCTGCTTGCACGATAAGTATGCTCCTTGTACTAATTAAAACAGACAAAATGAGGACCATTGAGGGCATTACAAAGGAGCAGAATACTTTTGCAGTAAATAAAGCTGCAAATTAGATTGTTCCTCTTTGTGTTGCTACTTCGAAACTTGTACTATCGTACTACTGTCCGTATCGTCTGGAATGTTTAAATGTATTTTAGAGCAACCAGGTCCAATTAAACGCGAAATTGTTCTCGATAAGAAACAATATT